TAGGGATGGGCTAAATGCCTTTTACATCCAGAGATTAGCATGAGTATTTGGGGGGCCAGAGGTGGAATGTTATGGTTTATATATAGATACCTCCCAAGGTTGGGGGATTTAGCTCAGTGGTTCCAGCGCCTGCCTCACAAACACAAGGACCTGAGTTCGAGCCCAGTTCCCCAAAATATAGGTATCTCCCCATAGCCTCATGTGGTCACAGCCCCATGTGGTCATAGGTTGGGAGTTTCAAAGGTGGCTGGGTTAGGGTGTGTAGATGTGGATTAAGGCTACAGATAATGGAAGCCCCACCCTGGGTATGGGTGGTACAAAAAATAGGCTTGTAGCCTGGAAGGAATATAAAGGCACAGAATGGCAAGATTTCTCCACCTTCTCTTCCTCCTCCTCCCGCCTCACTGCCTCCTGCCTGCCCTGTCACAGACTGGTTCTCCTCTGACATGTCTCTCTGCCACATTGGAGTCAGCTGACTGTGGCGTGAAACTTCTAAAAACTGTGATCCAAGATAAACCTTTCCTCCTTTAACTTGTGGGTGTTGGGTATTTTGTCCCAGCAATGAGAAAAGTAATTAAGACACTCCCAAAAAGTAACTAAGACACTTTTCAGTTATCAGACAGGATAAAAGGAAAACAAAAAATATTGGGCACAAAGCCATGGTGTTTGGTATCTCACTCACTCCTGACTGTCAGTCATTATATTTCTAACTTCTTTCTGGAAATTGGAAAATCTGGCAAATCTGGGCCAACCCTCCTACGTGGAGACCATCAGTTGACCTGCAGCATCAGCTGCCCCTATAAGGCTATCCATTTGAAGTTTAGTCTTCCCAGCTGGCTTAGCTGATGGCACCTGTTCCATCCGGGTTCGCCAAGGCAGTGGCTCTTCAAACCTGGCTTCACATTCGAATCATGTGAGAAGATTTAAAAGTGGATAATACCTGCTTTTATCTGTAGAGATTTTTATATGATCTATCTTGGCTACAGACTAGGTATTAGGATTTTTATAAGCTTCCCAGGCAATGGTGATATGTGGCCAAAATTGACCCTATCAAGACAGAGTTTCTTAAACTTGCATATGAACCAACTGGGGATCTGGCTAAACGGTAGACTGTGATCAAATAGGTCTGAAATAGGGACTAGGATTCTGCATTTTTAAAACTCCTGCATGGTGCCAATGCTGGTGCATGCTTACTTTGAGAAGTAAGACTTGCCAGGTGTAGTGGTGCACACCTATAATCCCAGCACTAGGGAGGCTGAGGCAGAAGGATTGCTGTGAGTTCGAGGCCAGCCTGGGATACATCCTAAATTCAAGGTCAGGATGAACTACATAGTGAATTCCTGTCTCGAAAACAAAACAAACAAACAAAATAAGGCTGTAAGGCAGTGGTGGTGAACCCACGGGATGCATGCCACAAGGGGGCTGTTGGTATCACTGAATGCTCTGAGATGCTCTAAGGCATTCGTACTGATTTTGTTTTGGCTTTGAACCCTAAAATATATACTTAGGCTTAAAGGCTAAGGGAAATGTGTCCTAACACTCCAGTTATTAAAGAAGAAGGTGTGAGATGGGAAAGGAGAGTATCCTACTGGCCATCTTTGAGGAGGCTATTTTCTCAGCTTTCTTCAGCCTCTTAAAGCCTTTCTTGGTATTGGAGTTTCTTGACTTCCTACATGTGACCATCACCTTTGCTGCTCTGTATTATACCGGACACTGCTGCATCCTTTTGGAAACTGTATATCCTCTGCCATTGAGATTCTTCCTGGGCGCATTCTCTGAGACCTAACAGTTTGGCCATTAACCGATTAAATTGTTTATAGGCTTATAAGTACATTTTATTGTGATGGATTCCAGCCTGTATTCCTAGAAGCCTTAAAGCAGTGAAGGCAAACCTTGTAGAGCTTTCAGTGATATAAAAGCTTGCTGTGGTGCTATAGGTTCACCCTATAGCACCCTATAGCACTGCCCTAAAGCAACTGTCCTCAAACCCTAGCATGCATTAGATGACTTGCAAGGCTAATAGAAACAGAACGGTGGGTTCCACCCCGGCATTTCTAATTCAGTAAGGACAGAGAACTTGGCATTCCCAGGAAATCCTTGGGTGTCTGCAGCACAGGTCTAAGGACATAGCAATTCCAGAGAGAGGAGAGGAAGGCAGCAGATGCAAAGGGCTCCTGGCCTTGCCACATGCCTTCTTGTTTTACAAAAGTTATATTGTGGAATTAATGGTGAGATTTTACTAAAAGTTACCTCAGACTAATTTATTGTCGTTTTGTTGTCTTTTTGCTTTTATTTCATATAAATCAATAGAAAATGAAAATACAATACGAGTGATATGGAGGGGAGGTGTCAATATAAATGAAACAAAGACAAATCTATTATGTGTATATGGAAAAAGCACATTATTTTCCCCCCATGGGGCACTCTTTGAACTTAAGCTATGTGTTCAAATGTGATAGAAAAATTAAATAAAACCCAACATATGCCAGAAATAAATTGCCAAAACTGTCTTTTAAAAAGGAATTGCAATTAGGGAATTTATATTGTACAGGGCATAAATCCAGGAATTTGGTCTATACAAAAGGAGATAGCTGGTAAGGTTTGATATTCTGTTTCTTCAGAGTTGGACCTAAAGGAAATACTGTGAACATCACAGCAGTTTCACTTGAATTTATTGGATTGGATAAAAGTAATTCTTCCACAAGGTGAGAGGCATCACCCTATCTACAAAGCTCATATTATAATGAGGCCCTGCATTTCACATAGTAGGTGTGAAGACCAACCTTAGTACATTTCATATTTACTTTTAGGGAAAGGAGATTCTTTAACCTGACATGGGCAGCTACTTAACTTTTGTATCTCAGCTTCAAGAGATGTTGGAATAACAGAAACACGAGCACTTGAATGGCCTAAGGCGGAATTTTTTCGTTAGGCTGTCTCCTTTAAAAGTGATTATATTTTGTAAAGATAGGCAATGCATTTCTTTTTTTTTTTTTTTTTTTTTTTTTTTTTTTTTTGGTTTTTTGAGACACGGTCTCACTATGTAGTTCAGACTGCTCTGTAACTCACTGTGTAGCCCAGGCTGGTCTCGAACTCACAGCGATCCTCCTGCCTCAGCCTCCTCAGTGCTGGGATTACAGGCGTGCACTACCGCGCCTGGCAGGCAATGCATTTCAATAATGTTCTTCTCCTTCCAATGCTCACAGAGATAATCACCAAATTCAAAGTATGACAAAGGTCTGAGTGATTTTCTTTTTTTAAAAGTAGTTTTCTTGTGAGGTTACTGGGAAACACTTGCAAAAAGGACTTCAGGGCAAGCATCGTGGGCCCATGCAGATCTCTAATCTGGGAAGAGCTTTTTTATTAGTAAACTCTCACAGGTTTTAATGGGACCGAGCAGAACACAAGTGCTGGCCTTCCATCTATCAGTGGAAGGTTTGAACATCAAATTTCTCTTGAGCAGCTAAAGTAATGATTATTACTCGGAGGACCTGCGTTTTACAACGCACACATTTAAGAAATAATATAATTCATCTGAGCTCCCACCCACCCTACCACGAGCGACCTACATTTTCTCGGTCATCTCAGTACTAAAGAGATCAGCCGGCTCGCGCCCTCCTCACAGGGCCCTTTCCGTGCCGAGGTCCCGTCTGCACCGGTGCCAGGCTCCTGGAGTCGCGGCAGGCCTCGGGCACCCGTCCCTCCGGTTCACCCTTTCACCCTTCCTTCACCCCGAGAGCGCCACTGGGGAGGCCGTGCAGGCGGGGCCAGGAACTGCAAGGCCCCAAGCTTCGGCGAGCCCTGGATTGATTCCACGTCCTCCGCACCCCAACCCCTCTTCTGGGTTCTGGGGACTGCACGGAGACAGACGGTCCCTAGGGAGGCCTGAACTTGCCCGTGCCCACCCCGAACCCCAGCCTCGGGACCGGGAGACGCCCAGCAGCCGGGCCAGTCCAGGACTATCAAGGCTGCGGCGCTCCGCGGAGGCAGTGC